AATACAACCCCCAGTCACAGACAGCCAATGATAACCAGACACATTTGAGAAAGGCATGCTTCCCTGTAGGAGTCTATATCAAGGGGGTAGTATAATCTAAAAGGTGATTGTTAAAAGAAACAGATTAGTGGCCTTTTTTTGAAAAAAAGTTGACATTTACAAAACTCAGCCTTACCCCAGCTTCTTAACACTGGAATCTAGACATTTAAAACAAAATCTATAACTAGCATTAAAATGTCAGCAAGTGCAAATTTGGGTGTGACCAAAAAAATTGACTTTTGGATTTGAATTCCAGATTTGTTGCCAGTTTTTGAAACCAAAATTACTACTTATGTGTAGCTGGTTATGATTAAGTCTTACATATAAACATTTAGCAGAGTTTCATTAAAACTAGGCAAACTGATACTTAGAATTAAAATCTACTAATATTGCTTATGAGCAAATTTCTTGGCTTTGCTGAGGTTCATTCTAAGGTAAGTCCCATTTTTACAAAAAAAATTGACTTATTTCAGGTTTATCCCCCACGCCCCACCCCAGTTCATCACTGTGTGACTATCTGGTTTAGGCAAAACTGTACCTCATCTTGGCATAGTAAGGAAAGCCAACTACTAGGAAAGAAATTACACAGTTTTTTTCTGATGCTCTTCTCTTAATCCAAACTTCAGTTTGGAGCAGGTTCACCATACAGTCCCAGTCATTAAAGTGGATGAGACATATCAAAGTACACAGGAGCCTGAAAAATTATTGCTCAATTTGTTTCAGCAGGTATCTTCTTCTAGCTATAACATAATGCAAAAATAAAACTACAGCCTGTTGCCACACACTGTGCTGGAAGTAGAACCAGTCTGAAAAGAACAGGAGTTTTAGTTCTACGTGGTCTCACTGCTGGTTCCCACACAACCCAGGTGTGCAAGTTATACATGGAAGCAAGCCTCATATGGGCCCCAATCCATAGTAAAGGGTGTACATTTGTGGGGGAGAATCAGCATGCCTGAGGCTCACAGCCACAACTCCAGTATGCATTAACCCTACACAGACAGGCCATGTGCCTGATTACAAACTAGTATTTAAAGCCACTTTTCATGCAAAAGCAGATGCAGCACTGGTCCCTGTATAACATACTAGTGGGATATTACCACGGGGAAGATGCCCAAGTTCCCTCTTAGCATAGTGCACAGGAAAGGAAAATGTAAGAACAGCAAGCTGCACATGAAGCTGCATTTCAGGAAGATGGAACAAGACAGGAACCCTACCAATCTGAAACAATACGGTTCAATATTTGCGTCTCCCTCGTATCTGAAACACTTTACAGCAAATTAATATTTTACTCATTTAAATGAAACTTCATACAACAGTGTCATCTTTCTCTCTCTAAAAATAGTATGATTTTAGAGCAATAGAAAATATAAGCTCATAAAATAAGCAGAACAGTACAAGACACAGAATACACAGCAAGTTGGAGTTCATGCTGCAATACATGCTACTATACTAGGATTGCCCAAGGATGTTTCTTACACTACAAGCTTAAGTCTTTATCTAGTCAACTTTGTCCTGCCTTTCCTCATCTTATCCTCAGAACAATCCTGTGCAGTTGGTCAGGCTGAGAGAAAGCAGGGTTAGAATGCCTGACTAGGGGGGTGGAAGACCCAGGCAGTCACTCTCTCTGCTCTTATTTCCCAGGGTCCTTGAGAGGAAAACAGAAGGTGCGTGACCAATACTATAAGCTCCCCATTGGGGAGAAAAGCAGTGTGTAAACATCTAAATACAGAGTGGCCAGCCCAAGGTCACTCACAATGCAATCCTAAACAGAGTTACACCCTTCTAAATGCACTGAAGTCACCCTACCTCTCTAATATACCATCAAGCTCAGCCAATGAGCTTGATGGTATAGTAGGTATTTACATAGGTCTTCCAGATTTTGGGCCAGCACGTTAACTACAATACCACACTGGCTCTCCGCAGCTGTATCTTGACAATATCCTTACAAAACACAGGGGAAATGTGCTAAGCCGAGATACCACTGAAGCTTATGTACATCAAGAACGTACATGGCAGAAATGAAGGTTTTCCCTCATAAATGGAAATAAAATACATATCTATCTTGTTTAGAATTCAACAGCTCGGTACTACATGTGTATATTTTGAACTCAATCCAGATGATTTCAACGGAAAAGGCAGGGTTCCCCCCCCCCCATCTCTGAGTGCAGAAGTGGCTAATTGCTTGTTTGTGCACAATCTATACAATGTTCCCCCACCCCAGTTCCAATAATGAATCCACTGGGAAATTGCATTTTCACAGCACTGAGATCACAGTACTGAGTTGCTGGCTACATGCAGTACCTCCTACTACTAGTGCAACTATTACAAGCAAAGTGACATGTGCATGTTATTCCTAACAGCATTTCAGGTATCTATGACCTCATAGCAAAAACACTGCAACCTGGTTCACACACCCTCCTTCCTAATCATACCTACTATTCAGGAAGCTCAGCTGCCCTGCTATGTCACCAAAATCAAATTTGCAGTGTTCCAGTACATGCCACCTGAAGTATTATTAACAGAAGCCATTCAATTTCCCAGCTGCAAGGTTACTCTGCCCCCTTCATTTATGGAAGAACAGGGTTATAGCACCAGGGGTGATGAATGAGCCCGGAAACCAGCAAGGTACCAAGAAAAGTAGGATTTTATCATCTAGAATTAAGTTTAAGCAGCTGGAAAAAAGACATTCTGATAGGAATAAACTTTTAAAAAGCAGACCAAACAGACAAACCCTAATTTTTACTTGCTCAAAACTATAAGAGGCTCTGTGAGCAACAGCTACCATGCACTTTGAAGTTATTTCAGCTCTGAAAAGCTTTTTAAAGCAGAAGGCTGCACTCCAAATAATATATTCCCAGGAGTAAATCTCATTGGAAAGTCAACTTACTTCTGAGTAAACCCGCTTAGCCCCAGAAGTCTGTTCTTTGTTTACTGCCAGTCCCCGTCCAAAGCCTTCGTGTTTAAGGGGGGGGGGGCACGTGAATACACACAGGAATCGCACTGTCTTGTCTCTAACAGACCACCCAAGAGAGGTAAAACACTGCAGGCTGCAGCTACAAGTTGATCATGGTAAATCTAGACTTGTGCGTTCCCAATATTGGTTACCCGGAAAAGAGATTTAGAATTTGGAAACCCTATTCTCAGCGCTCGCTTTGTACTGGAGGGTCATATGGGATAACGACGGGGAATAATTCCAGGCAGATAAATATCCCAGTGGGGGAGACTTCTCTCCCTGCCCCCCTTCCTGCCATCCCTCAGAGCAACGACTACAAAAGGGTAAAACGCCCTTACCTCATCATCGCCCTCCTCCCATTCTTTTTTAACAATGTTTTGTCTCTGGGCGGGTCTTGAAAAGGGGGAAAGGGACAATTAACAATAACAGGCACCCCCCCCCCCGGCCGAAAGGGGGATTAACTGGGTTTGGGCAGGGGCTACTGGGGGGGGGG